AAAAAATAAAAAAAATTCAAAAAGCAACTAAAAGTCCAATTCTCAAACAAGACCTAAATCCCATTTCAAATATGAAAGTTTTAGTTACTTCATTCCATATCCATATAAAAAAGAAATATTTTTGTAGCGTTTTTGTGGATAAGATGCATGAAAGGGAAATTTTATGGTACATACTTTTTTTTTGAGATATGTACCATATATCCCCAATTTTAAATATAACCTATTAAGATAGTACCTATAATTTAGGGATTGTTTGGGATGACCCAAATAAGTGTACTTTTTGTCTTTTTATGAAAAGATGTACAAAAAAGTAGAGATGTGATGTAATAAAAAAAAGATAAAAAGATAAATTATTTGAGACTTCCCAAACTTAACCTTAATATGATGTAATGTTTGATTATAATTTTTTTTATAATTACGAATCCCATAAAATTGAATTGAAATTTTTTACCATAATCCCTTTCTAGAGATCGTTTTTCTTAATAATGACAAATTCTAATTTTTTGACTTATAAACTCTTTTAAAATAAAGAAATCTTGTAAAAATGATACAAATTTTTAAATTTATATTTTGTGTGACAAATTTACCCCTTCACATACACACATTTTTTATCTTTCTCATCTTTTTCTCCATCAATTTGTTATCTCTCTCTCATATTTCTCTCCATCAATTTATCATCTCTCTCTCAGCTCTTTCTTTCTCTATCACTTTCTAAGAGTTCTTTCCACCACTACCACCATCACTATCACCATCTCTACTATTACCACTACAGCGACAATTATCATTTCCACACCTCCATCGGCTCCACCACCACCTTCTCAACTACCAGCGTCATTTGTCACCACTGCTACCACCATCACCATCTCAACCACCTGCGCCATACCACTGTATCACCGGCAACCATCATCGTCATCGTTAGCCTTAAGACCTCAGATTTGGTATTGACGACCTTAGATTTGAGATCCATCATCTGAGATTTATATTCCCTCCACTCATCTTCTCTTTGTTTCCTCATCATGCTCTGTTTTTCAAACAATAAAATTTTACTCTGGTTTGAACCAAATCTAAGGCAATATATGTGTTTTTTTTTTTTATCTCTCTATTTCTTTGTCTTTTTCTATTTTTCTCTCTATATGTATATATTTTTTATTTTAGTGCATTTTTGTTGTTGTCATTATTAGTTTGAATATTGATTTTGAGATGTCAAACAAAAATGTTAATTTAGTACGTTCAATAGTGAAATAGTAAAATTTTTTTTATCTCTCTATTTCTTTGTCTTTTTCTATTTTTCTCTCTATATTATATATTTTTTTATTTTAGTGCATTTTTGTTGTTGTCATTATTAGTTTGAATATTGATTTTGAGATGTCAAACAAAAATGTTAATTTAGTACGTTCAATAGTGAAATAGTAAAATTTTACTATAATATAGAGTACAATTTTACTTTTTGTAAGAATAAAATTTTATTGTTAACGTTATTAATTCAATATTCTAACTAATTTTTTATTTAATATCTATATGAATAATTGTCACGCCCCAAAATTCGGACAATTAAATATTATATTAGGACTAACCCCAATCAATATTCCATCATCGAAATTCTAGGGGTGAAACAAAAAAAAACTAAATGCAAACCAAACCATCCACCATAAATTCATAACTAACCAATACCTCAACGTCAAGGTAACAATAAATAGTTAAAACAACTTAAATAAAGTACGGTTACAAACCATGCCAAATTATTCCAATACTAAAGCCATTAAAAAAAAATAATAAATACATAAATTAGTATCAACCCTAAGCTCAAGAAAAATAAAAGAACTCCAAACGACATATCCTACGATCATAGTTATTTCTTGTCACCACCAAAGCCTCTACTAATCCTGCAAAGAAAGCTCAGCTGCGCTCAAACAGAATGCACCCGAGTTGTCAAGAGACAAAACGGGTCAGTATACAGGTATACTGGTATGAGTACAAGATCTAACACCCACGTGTCCACCAGACACAGACAAAAATACATTTAATTCTTATTCCAGGATAAGACAAGTAGTTTCAACCACACCGAGACGAATGGGTAGTTTTCCAAGATATGGTGGGATTTAGTTTCTTGTCTGTATACAACGAAATATAAATTTATTATAAAATAAACAAAATAGAAATAGAAATATGGTGGGTCAGCCCTACATAAGAAGTTAGTAAGACCCACCATCCTGCAAAAAAAATAATGTTAGTATAAATTAATCATAAGTAACTTGCTGAATACGTATAAAAATGCACCGTTTCCTGCTTAAATAATTTGAATTGATCAAAACTTAAAGAACGAAAGTTGTACAGAATTAAATTTCCTAAAATACTAAGAGAACGAATTTAACATAAACTGAGCAGGTTGAGAGAAAAACTTGATATAAAAACTTAGACGGATTTCAACCGAAAAATATGAAACTGAAAACGAACAGAAACTATCCTAAGATAATTGTTTTCAAAAAAGTTCAAAACACGAAAAGTGTGCAGAATAATGTTTTACTTCAGTTTACGCGAAACCAATAAAAATGAGCTCGTTTCATGGGTTAAAACAGCCTATAAAATCTGCATTACCAAAATGAATCAAACCGACAATAATCAAGATCATTCGATTATAAGTTCTAATCAATCTTTTTAATAAAAAGTTACAACACAAAAGTTGTCCAAAATCACGTATACATGCCTCTCCAATAAATTTCATAATTTATTGAGGTCGATTACTATTTTTCAAGATGTACAAATCGATAAACTCATAATTAAATTTTTGTATCTTAACTCCACCACTTCGGCCATCCCCTTCCGGCCTACACATATATCCCATGTGCCTCCCGTATATCTAACACCGCTCCGAAGCCAAACTTGCACGGGGATATCGTCCCGAGTTTGACTCACACTCCCTAGATGGTTAGCATATACGTACGCACGCAAATCAAAACACTCGTTTACTCATGAGAACGAGGCAACAATATATATATACACAACATCTCACACATGAGAATAAACATAACAATGCCAAGCCTAAGGCATTCAAATAAATCTCATAATCCTCACTTTAATCTAAAATTCCTTTCTCACCAACACTCAAATAAAACAACAATCCATGGAGTCGTGGTGGAGTATAAGGAATTTATCTATGGGTTCCTAATTAATTTTAATTTCATATGTTCATGAGTGTGATTACAACTATAAAATAAATACATATATAAAAACTCTAGGCATACACAACTAATCTAATAATGAAATCAATCAATCATCTACATGCAAATACAAAATCAAATCAACATCAAATAAATAAATAAAAACAATGAATCAATCCATCATGTAACCAATACCTATAGATTTTAAGTTTATTTCAATTTCATATAATTATAAGTGTGATTACAATCACAAAATCAATCCATATAAAAACCCTAAACCTTGCATATACAACTAATCAAAATAATTAAAATCAATCAATCATCTAAAAACCCTAAACCCTACATACACAACTAAACAAAATAATTAAAATTAATTAATCATCTAAAAACCCTAAACTTTACCTACACAACTAATCAAAATAATTAAAATCAATCAATTATTTAAGAATCCTAAACTTTATATACACCACTAGTCAAAATAATTAAAATCAATCTATCATCTTTATGTGAATACAAAATCAAACTAATATCAAACAAATAAAAATAAATAAATAAAAACAAAGAATTAAACATAAATCAAGAAAAATGGGTTTTATACCTACAATATTTTTTTTGAAGATCAAAAAATTATTTGAAGAACTAATAAAATTACCAAAATAAAATCCTAATCTTTTTTTTTTCTTTTTTTTTTTCTTCTCTCTTTCCACGCCAAACACACAGCACTCTTTTTATTTTCTTCTTTGATGATCTCTCTCTCTCTCTCTCTCTCTCTCTCTCTCTCTCTGGCTTGCCGCCGCACAACACCTCTCTTTCCTTTCTTTTGTTTATAACCTAATAATTATTATATTGTATAACCTAATTTACTTATATTATTATACTCTAGAAATAAAACATAAATACACCATATATAAATATAAATATAAGATTATATATATAACACTATATATATAACACCTTATATATACATATATATATAAATATATATAAATATTTAATTTAATTATATATAATTAAACACCACATTAAACTAATTAAATGTCACATTAAATTCTCATAGATCCACACAATTAATAAAGTCAAATATAAAAATAAATAAATAATGGCCTATGAAAAATTAGAGTCGCTACAATAATGATAATAATTATAGTAAATGTGGTGGTTAGTGATGACAATGGCAAAAACTCACTATTTATTTGTTTAAAGTAAACAGTAAATTTTACTGTCCAAATTAACAAAGTAAAATTTTATTGTCTAATAAAGTAAAATTTTACTATCACTGGAGAATCATGTTGGAAAATTTTCACTGACCGACGGTTGTTGCCTGAAAATTGTAGCCGGTCGGGGTGATCAACAGTGATCGGGGCTAGTCCGTGATGGTAGACAATGGTCAGTAGTGATTATGATAATGTAAGAAAATGGTAGAAGTTAAGGGTATTATTGTCATGTTTTTTAAAATAAATTAAATATTTTTAGCTTATCCTTTTGACAATAAAATTTGAAATTGAGAGACTTATTACCAAAAACCCCAATTGAATTATATCATAATTTGCATTACCTAGCTGACAACACTAAATTCTGTATCAATTAGAAGATGGGCAATTCTAGAAATCTCAAATATTTGATCAAATATTCTATATAAGTGTGAGACTCACATAAATTCTACATAACGTAGATCTCATATCTATATAAAATATTTGATAGAATATTTAATAAAATATTTGGAGTTCCTAATATATTTTTTTAAAAGATTAGTATTAAAAATAATAAATAATAAATTATACAATCAGACAAAGGTAGTTAGGGGATTCATAATCGGACAAAATGATTTGACGAAATGGCCAAACACTGCTTTTGGTGTCTGCTATCCCCTGCACCACATTTCTCTCTCTATCTCTCTGTTCTTATCTCTTCCCTCCCTTGAGGATTTCCCATTGGATTCTTTCCTATAGAGAAACAACTAAAACAGCCACAAAGGTGAAAAAGAGAAAGAGGGTTGTGATTGAGAGAGAGCTAGCAAAACCTAATCTTGCTTTTGTGTGAGAGAGAATTGAAAGAAACCATGGCCTTTGCAGGAACAACCCAGAAATGCATGGCATGTGACAAGACTGTCTATCTGGTCGACAAGCTTACCGCCGACAACCGTGTCTACCACAAGGCCTGCTTCCGATGCCATCACTGCAAAGGAACACTCAAGGTACCCCATACCATATACACAACTCAACTCAACTGACATACAACTCTTTTTTCTTTTTCTTTTTAAATTTTTATCACCAAGCTCTAATCCAGGAAATAAACATGCTTCTACAACTGCAATTTTGCATACTAAAACCCAATTCAGATCTTTAGATGACGCAAACACTTTCACTGTCAAAGTAACTAAGCGATCAGAGCCAGAGAGATCCATATGTGGTAGAGAGGTAATTTGAAACAGGGAACCAGAGAGATTCAGGACAGTCCATGAGCTTGCTCATCTTTGTCCGGAACTTTGAAGTCTCTCTCACTCTCTCTATTTGTCTAACTTGTCAATTCATTCTAGGGTAAAAAAAAAAACTCATGCACAGTAGACACCTCAGAATTATCACACAATTTTATGAGTGATGATGCCTTTTATTTTGCAGCTTGGCAACTACAATTCCTTTGAGGGGGTTCTGTACTGCAGGCCACACTTCGATCAACTCTTCAAAAGAACCGGTAGTCTCGACAAAAGCTTTGAAGGTAAACCCAAGTTTTGAAATTTTATTTTATTGTATTTAGTTCATGTTTTCGCAGCAGCCCAAATGCTTACTAGTTTTCAGATCAAGCTAATTTCTTACCTTTTCAACTTTTAGGTACACCAAAAATTGTGAAACCAGAAAAACCTATTGATAATGAGGTACTTGTCCTGAAATCTAGATGCTTGCATATATATATAATATGCTAATCTTGATTCCTGATTAATCTGCTTTTAACAGAAACCACTAGCGAGTAAAGTCTCGAGCAAGTTTGGGGGAACGAGAGAGAAATGTGTGGGCTGTAAGAACACTGTCTATCCAACTGAAAGGGTAAATACCACAAACAAAAATCATTTCTTGTTGCTTGGTGTTTTTACCATTTTCTTCTTCCTTAATTGTTTTTTTCTTTCTTTTTTTCTTGGTTATATAGTATCTTGTTATCTAGGCAAAGTCGAGCATTTACAGTTCAAACAAAAGTACTTATAAATCTTATGTTAATGGTTAACTAATAATATACAATTCATTGCAAGGTTACGGTGAATGGAACAGCGTACCATAAGAGTTGTTTCAAATGCAGCCATGGAGGTTGTGTAATCAGCCCATCAAACTATATTGCTCATGAGGGCCGACTTTATTGTAAACACCACCACACCCAACTGATAAGGGAGAAAGGCAATTTGAGCCAGCTCGAAGGCGACCACGACAAGGAACCTGTAAATGAGAATCTCAAAGTCCAAGAAGTTGCTGATGAGTCATAATCTGCCCAAGAAATTATTCTGGTCCTTTTCTTCCTCTGCTGTCTTGTGGTTTTCTACTGTTTGTATTGATGCAGTACCTTTGATTTCCCTGCAGTTGAGAATGATTTTACACTGGTGACAGAAAAATTTTCTTAAAATGTTTCCAGTGTGTGTGAGCGACTTTTGTTTGTGATTTTGGGTGCTTTCATGAGATTGTGGATGCTTAATTGAGATGGCAAGACTTAACTATTCATAATATCATATGACAAGTTATGTGCCTGCCAAGGTTATTTGTGAATTCTTATTCCCATCCATCGGTTTTGACAAATCGGTTTTGACAAATGTTACAATCCCCATTGTATTTAATGAGTCATAATCTGCCCAAGAAATTATTCTGATCCTTTTCTTCCTCTGCTGTCTTGTGGTTTTCTACTGTTTGTATTGATGCAGTACCCTTTGATTTCCCTGCAGTTGAGAATGATTTTACACCGGTGACAGATAAATTTTCTTAAAATGTTTCCAGTGTGTGTGAGCGACTTTTGTTTGTGATTTTGGGTGCTTTCATGAGATTGTGGATGCTTAATTGAGATGGCAAGACTTAACTATTCATAATATCATATGACAAGTTATGTGCCTGCCAAGGTTATTTGTGAATTCTTATTCCCATCCATCGGTTTTGACAAATCGGTTTTGACAAATGTTACAATCCCCATTGTATTTACATGTTCTAGCGAGTATAACAGATTTTGAAGCATAAACATGACGATCCAAAATAATTGCACACAACAGAAATTAAAGAGACTGAAAGGAAATTAAAAATGCTGGCAGAGCTTAGTGAAATTAAAAATATACTGCAAGATAGGAAGAAAACAATGATCCAAAGCTGAAATGAACTGTTCCGAAAAGGTCTACCAAAGCAAAAGCTTGCAGAACGTTGAGTAACAGCCTCTACAGAGCCTGGTACAGATTTCACCCATGAACCAGCAGAATTATGAAAAATAAGACTCACTTAAATTCACAAGAGAGCTTATAAACCAGATCACGGAGTAAAATTTCAATGGGAACAAACAATTTGTAACTTCACCACCAAAATAGTTAAATTGTGGGATTTAAATGGCTGTGAACTCACCGTTAGAAATGTTGGAATGGTAGAATCCTGAGATATTCAAATGGTAGCCTGTAGTAAATTTTAACAGTCAGCAAGTTTGCAACATAGCATTGAACAAACTGAAAATTGGAGACAGTTTAATCAGCTAAAAGGCCAACTCCCAAATGTTAAGAAGTCAAGAATTTTCAGGCTGATCAAAAAAAAAAATAAAAATAAAAAAAGGAAACAAGACTTTTCACACTACTGTTATTCAGTGCTTTTGTAGACTACTTTGTCTCATGAAAGGGCAACTACATAAGACCATCCTTGCTGCTGTATATATTACAGACTTTTAGTATTTGTTTACCACAATGCTTTTGATGTATTTTGTCAAATAGAAGGAAACAAAGATAAGTATTAAGACCGGACACAGCTACTCAAGCCTATCATAAATCATGCCCCAAAAAAAGGTTCAAGCAACAGAGACATTCTACTACCATGAACACAATCAAATAAGAAGGAACAAAATGAAAGGATGTTAATTGAAAGAAATGATATTATTATTTCCACGATAAATATGTTACAAGGTGCAACAGTGCATAAGTGGTATCCAGATACAGCAAGTTTTGTACATAGATGATCCTAAGGATATCAATCACTACAAAGCTCCATTATATCAAGAATACAACCATTCTGAGCAATATGTTTCAGGTCTATAATGTAATTGTTCCGTAGAAACCCAAATCCAAATGTCCCATCCCTATACTGCCATATTCTTCCCTCCACTTGCTGGGGATTTGCTGAAGCTCCCGCCAGGTTTGGAATTACAAGATCATAACTTGAATTGATATCAAGAATGCGAGAAACCACTTCATTTTCCATCCAAGACGATTGCCCATGGACAGGATCAGCTGATGCTAGTGGTCGAAGATGCATGCGACTATCATATATGTATTCTTCTTCTGGACAAAATGGAGACTCAATGAACGTAGTGTTTGATGTCCAAAAGACTGGGGAATAATCAGAGAATGGCTGAGACGAGTCTCCAACCCTTCGGCAGGCAATGCCCCCAATATCATCATATGTCACAAGATAAAAATCCAAGTTCATGTCATCGCAAATACCCTGCATCAAAAAGCAATACCCACAGTAGGATACACAAATATAGAAACAAATATAAAATAATCAATGGTCCTGGGGAGAAGCCAGTAAACGATTATGCATTGTTAGCTGGCATAATGAGTTTCTCAGCAAGCACTATTACATGGTTTTGCAAATAACCTGTACAGGAGATCACATCAGTTGACTATAATTTTTTTAGGCAGCATTCAAATTCTCTGTCAGAAGATTCAGAACTGACTTGAGGTAGCAAAAATATTTTCGTATGTATCCCATAAAATATTAGAGTTCAGCAATTTAATCAGATATGTAGAAGAGAGATAGTCAACCCCATTTGATGGAACTTAAGACTTGGTTTAGTTTGACTTGGTATGGTTTACGTAGAAGGGAGAGATAAACTTGTATCATAAAGACCATCCATCAAAAGGGTAAGGTATAATGGAGGTAACATGGAGAATTAAAGTTTGGATCCATCGACCATGAAATTGCAAAATTATTTTTTCCTTTTCCTCAATAAACTAAGTTGCATCTAAATTCTTGCAATCAATGCAGGAACCAATTCATCTAAAATCACGTTTTCATTCACGAGAACAGTGGGAAACAACACGAATTAAGGATGTAAGAAAAATTGGAAAAACCGATCAAACCGATTGAATCAGGCAGAATTGGCAATATTTGGTCTATTTTTTTAACAAGAATTGGTCTGTGTAATTTTTTATATGTAGAAGAGAGAGATAGTCAACCCCATTTGATGGAACTTAAAGCTTGGTTTAGTTTGATTTGGTATGGTTTACGTAGAAGGGAGAGATAAACTTGTATCATAAAGACCATCCATCAAAAGGGTAAGGTATAATGGAGGTAACATGGAGAATTAAAGTTTGGATCCATCGACCATGAAATTGCAAAATTATTTTTACCTTTTCCTCAATAAACTAAGTTGCATCTAAATTCTTGCAATCAATGCAGGAACCAATTCATATAAAATCACGTTTTCATTCACGGGAACAATGGGAAACAACACGAATTACGGATGTAAGAAAAATTGGAAAAACCGATCAAACCGGTTGAATCAGACAAAATTGGCAATATTTGGTCTATTTTTTTAACAAGAATTGGTCTGTGTAATTTTTTAGTTTGATTTTTTTCCGATTTTCGGTTCAATACCGGTTCACGCACCTTGTACACCGACCTAAACCAAAACCAATTGCTTCAACATATATTATATTTATAATATATATAATCTATTACTATAATTATATTAATAAGTATAATGAATTATTAACTCAATTAATTAACCTTATTATCCATATTTAATTATATAATCTTAACTCTAATTCACTATTCTTGAAGCCACCGGGCCTCGTCGCACTGGTTCGATTGACCGAGGAGTAGGGAGGAGATCTCCTGGCGGGTATAAGAATTGGAAAATATTTATTAAATGAATAGATTGATATGTTTGAAGTACAAATGACTAATTCAATGCTTTTACATAGATTGGTGACTATATTATAGTTTTAAAAAGTGGCTCATATTTGAAAGGTTCTAAACGGATTAAACTGCACTGAATTGAAACGTTTCAATTTGTGCGGTTTGATGAGAGAAAAAGTTTATATCAGTACTCAAAATAATAAAACCGACATTATTAGTTGGATATAAAATTTTACCTAAATATTGCCCCTACCAAACCGATTAGATCCCTCAACACAATAACCAATCCATTGCATCCCACTTTTAATTTGAAAATTGGCAACTTGGAGGGAATCCTCATTCAATCATCTAAGACACATAGTTGCAACAGTCTTGCTTAATCATAGATTCAAAAGTCTCACCAAAGTTTGAATTCGACTAAAATTTTCACCAACTATATTTTTGGGTAAGTAATCACCAATTATTAAAACACACGTCTCATCTTTTTATTTCTATGTACCAATTGTACTAAAAAAACTTACATATACACCTTGTCATAGATGTACAACATTAAAACATAAATGCACAAGCTTATAGATGTTGAGACGTAAAATACCTCCACATTGAAGCACCTAGCCTATCAATAAATTTGTATCCCCAAAGTCTCACCAAAGTTTGAATTCAGTTTAGATTTTCACCAATCACAGCTCATCTTGTATTTCAGCATCTACACATTATCATAGATGTAAAACATTAAAACATAAATGTATAAGTTTATGGCTTCGTTTGGGGAGTTGCTATTTTAATAGACTATTTTAGTTTTTAACTATTTTAGTAGGCTAAAATTTTTGTATTTGGGAAGATGATTGGATTTTTTTGTGGTTGGATGTGATGTTTGTGAGAGAAAAAGTGAAATGATTATGGGTTTGATGTGATATTTTGTCTTATTAGCTATTTTAGCGTATTTTGTCTTTTTGTGAATTTTAGCCTAAACTAGGCTATTTTTTTTCTTGCCAAACACCCCATATATATGTTTTTAAGATACCACCACATTCAAGCACCCACTCTATCAAAAAATTGTTATTCCCACATTACTCGCACTCTGTAGGCACTGCTTGTAAAGAATAAGAACACTCTTGACCGCCCGGAATCAGCTACCTCGTACACTGCTTAAGGAAACATGATTAAACAGACAAGTTCAGCAAATTTCAATATGAACAAGAAATTTTTGTAAAACCCTGAAAAACACAGATTTGTAATCTGAAATTCTACTGACATATATAGGCGAATTATAAAAACCAATAATACAAACTTCTAACAACATATGCAACCAAAATGGGAACAAGAACACCACCTTCCATAAACCCTGCAAAGGTCTTGATGGTGTTGGCGAGCAATTATCAATCTTCACAAAATGCTCTGGCTCCAATTTTTTCCTTCCTTGCCTCCCCTTCTCTCGTTTCCTCTGCTTCCTCGATGCCCTATCCCCACCGGGACTTGTCCGATTGGCGAAGTACTGATAAATCTCAGACATCAACAAGCTTCCCGGGGACCCACTCTTGGCCCCGATCAGATCCTCCACCACCCCATACTCATCTCCCCTCAAATTTCCCGAACTCGAAACACTACTAATCCCAATTTGCCTTCCCTCCAGCGAATTCGAATTCGAATTCGAATAAGCAAAGCTCAAATTTTCCTCCACAACCACATGATTCTTACCCATAAAACTAACATTAACTGGTACCAATTCATTCTCAAGCAAACCCAATTCACCAGATTTAACCAAATCATCGAACAATTCGAATCGACACTCGGGATCCAGAAAACTTACCGGTGCACCATTGGGCATTATACTAATCCACAAAAATGGAGCCCTTACGACCCCATACGTGGCGGATTTCGAAGGCGAAACCCTAGAGCCAGTGATGAAAGATGAGCCCCACTCGAAGAACGCGAGAGGCGGCGGCGGCGAATTGAGTCCGGCGATCTTGCGGTGGCCGCTCCGGTGCCAGAAACCGATCAGGTTTTCGAACTCGTTGAGGGCTTTGTAGAGCTGTTTGTAGGTGATTTTGCCATTGCCCCATTTTCTGATCTGGGTCTTGGAGCCCCATCGACGGTCGCAGAGAGCGAACCAGAGCTTGGCGTCGTTACGGCAGAGAGAGACGAAAGGCTTTGAAGTGGAAGCGAAGGAGGAGAGCTCCGAGGGAGAGAGGAAAGAGAGGATGCAGAGCTGAACATCTTCAGGGAAATCGGAAAAGGAAAATGAATTGGGTTCTTTGTTGGGTGTGAGATTTGCCATGGGAATTGAATAATCTCTAGTTTGGTTGAATTGAAATGAAGCCTTTCTTCAAGTGTTTGGAAGAGAGAGAGAGAGAGAGAGAGAGAGGGGCGCAAAAATAATACTTTGGGCAAGCTTTAGAAATTTGTGAAGACTTTGCTTCGAGCAATGGAAGTATTCACAAATGGATCTTTGTGGCATGGGCGTAGGATTGGGGTGTGAATTTGACCCTGGTTCATGTCGGGTTTTGTGGGTTTTTGTTAAAATTTGGACCGGTCTGGTTTGGTTTATGGTCTAAAAAATTAGGATCAAGCCTAGGTTTAGGGGTTTTTTGAACCTTGGGCAGATCGGTGGGGTTGGGTTTAGGCCCGGGCTTTGGTGGGCCTAAACACTTTTTTTATTTTTTTCTTTCAATTTTTTCTATAAAAATTTTATTATTTTTTACTAAAAATAATATTGGACCTCGGGAGGGTCGTACCTTAAGTGGGTCTTAAGTGAGCTGATGGGCCGGGCTGGGCTTCAAAATGTTGGTTAGGCTCGTGCGCGGGCCCAAACAGGCCTAAACAGATCGGGCCCATCCCAAGTCGCGGGTCATTTTTACACTCTTAGCATAGGAGTAGGCGTGGCGTCGTTCAACCGATTTAAAAGTAAAATTATAAATTGAATCACATATGAGTAGATTGGTGAATTGATAAATTGTGATTTGAGTAGTTTTAAATAGATCAATGGATTAAAACATATTTTAATTAATTATTAAGTCTTTACATAATATATAATATTAATTTGTATAATATTTTTCATACATATAATTACTAATTTGTAGTAAATTTACTTACCCAAAAAAAAATTTGTAGTAAATTTCACATATTAAATCTCTCACACTCATTTTTGTTTTAATATTTATTTTAAACCCTTATTTTAGAATTTCTAACTTTTAACTTATTTTGGGTCACATCATCTTTTACATTTTTTACACTTTTTTTTTTAAAAGGTCAAAAAAAATTAAAAAATCAACTTTTAACTATCTTTCCAAAACAATTCGAAATTCGAATTTTTGTTTTCTTGCAATTTTAACCCTAAAATTAGAAGCGCGGGCCGAGCAAAAATGTGTAAACCCTAATCAATTCCGATAACTTAGGGATCATTTCTAATACCCTAATAATAATTAATTAACTCCCTAATTAAGAATTGGTCACCTAAAATCCTAGATTTCAGGTCCTCGTTACGTTCGTCGCTTAATTCGAACCAAAAAAACTTTGACCGAATTAAATTTTCAAATCATAATCTAATTAAATACTACACTTAAGTAAATGTTTCAAATAATAAAATTAAGCTCTAACCCTCATAATTTAGCTGAATTATATTTGGATCCCAAGTAATACCGTTATATACATATGTTTAAACTTATACACTTTGGTCATGGATTCTTAGGGAACTTTTAAACATGGATTATTAGAGAAGCTTTGAACATAGATTTTTGAGGAAGCTTTAAACATGGATTATAAAGGAAGCTTGGAAAAATTGTAGAGGAAGCTTGTGAAACCTATAAATACATCACTCTCCTTCCACATTTTGGAAAAAAAGAAAACACTCATACACCACATGTAGTCACCCACAGCTGAGAGGAAAATAGTGAAGGAGAAAAAGATTTGGTAGTGAAGGAAGGAAAGATAGAAGGAAAATCTTGTGCCACCATTTCATAAAAATTCATGTAAGCTATAACACAACCTCCTCTTCTATTTTCTTATTCAAATACATAGTGCTAGAGGATCTTTACTATCATTTCAGTTTTGACATTATGTTGTTCCTATGCGTAAAATGGATGGGTTGAGCCTTGAGTCTTCTCCTACTTGTATTCTCACTCAAGGGATGAAAAGCTATCATTTTCTCTCCATATCTCACACTATTTTAAAGGCACACTATCACTCTAAAAATCTGAGTTATAAGTACATTATTTAACATGTTTTCATCTCATAAGAAGTGGAATTTTTCCCTAATTCACCTTCATTTTACTTAAACCTTCTTATATTTAGTATTGCGCAAGAAGACAGATTTTTACAGCCCACTTTCGAAACTTCTAGAAAAATATGGAAAAATCCCCTTAACCTCATTTTTATGTCAAAATCTTTCTTTAAGTGTTAGTTTCCAAGGAAAAAAGATTTTATTAAAAAAGAGTGAGTGGTTTGAGAGAAAATCTATTTTTCATAACAATCGACAAATCGGGACAGAGCTGATGTATTTCTCAAATAACTAAAAATCTAGAAAAGCTATTCAAATTCTAAAATATGTTATGAATACTAAGTTCGGGAAAAATATGCATATGTCTCTTTAATTATGATCTTTAGTGAGAGGGTAATTTATGCATAAATTGGGCCGAGCTAAGTAAGTCCGTTGGAATGGACCGAGATAGATATAGTCTTGGGCCGAGCCACGGACTGAGGTAATTATCTTGATAGCCTTGGTCCTTGGTCGCATTGGTTCGGTCAAAGGTGGGCTATCAGTGGCCTAGTCTAGCGGTCGTAGACCGAGGTATCTGTGGGAATCGGACCGAGCTAAAAGATAGCTCGGTAGGAGGTCATTCCAAAGACTAGGTTAACTAAATTGACTTAATTAGCACCGAGCTGTGTAAGCACGGTTATGTCTTGTGCTAGCCAGAGTAAGAGTTGTAACTATCTCACTTAGACAAGCAGTGAGTAAGGAGTTATCAGAATATGCATTATCCTTGGGAATGTAATTCCTAGGAGGACTCTGCTAAGGAAAGTAGAGTCCTACTAGGATTGTGCAAACAATCTCACGTGGTTGGTAGTGAGTAGGGTGTGTGATTCCTAGGATGACTCTTATAAGGAGAGTTGGAATCCTACTAGGATTGGGCTAGACAGAATCTATAAAAGCTCATAGCAGGACCTATGTACAGGTATCCCAATTCTTACTCTAGAATACACAGAGCTTTTGCGTCTATTGTCTATTTGCTAACTTAGGCATCGGAGAGGTTTCCGGCACACACCCGCTGGCTAGCTCATGCTTGTGTTTTCAGGTATTAAAGCGACGACGTTTGGAGGAGTGCAAACTTGATCAACATGATTATACGAGAAGATTATTTTGTACTCGTATAATTGGCGTCATCTGTGGGACATGCAATCACAAAGAACGAGCCTCTTGATTAAGTTTTCTTTCAACTGATTTCAATGGCGCACAATGAAGACTTGCCACACTCTGTCATTGTTGGGCAAACACCGGAGGGGGGCGGAAGGTGCGAAGGCTTACCTTTTATCCTGCCCATGACAGAGTTAGATCCCTAGCGACGGAACCCGCGGAGGGATACCCGTGAAAGATGGGGCTCCAGTCCTCGTCGCTCTCAAAGCCCTGAAAGGTAGAGGCGAAGGTTGGATCCTCAAGTTCTAGAAGATCGGGTAAGGGAGTAAAACGAATTGATACAGAGGATGACAGTAGACATGGAGACTATGAAACGCCAGATAAAGGGCAAAAGGGCGGTGGAAGAAGAGGTGGGCAAGAGCAGGGAGCACTCTCACCACTCAGAAGATCGTGAAAGACAAGTCACACCATCAGAAGCTAAAAGTAGAAGCCTCAGATCAGGTGATACACAATTGAGGACTTCCAGGACTCGTTATTCCAGGTCTGAGAGAATGAGGACTGAAAATTCTTACATAGAAGGAAGCAGCTATCAGCCCACACATTCACACCAAACGATATCTAGGCACACGAAGTTGCCTAGGTCGGCGGATTTGCAGACAGTGCTTGAAGAAAAGGCTCGAAGGAGAGAAGACAGTTAGGCTCGCGACCCCCGCAGAGTCTTGCATTACAATGATTGGCTCCTATAGCACATGAGAGTGTCAAGGTTGGGATGCCAGAGCCGCGCCTTGCCTTTGAACCAGTAGACAAAGCGTTAGCAAGGTTGCAGAGCTCGCCGTTTATTCCGACGATAGAGAATGTACCATTACCCTCCGGCTTCCACCACCCTAAATTCATTATTTATGAGGGAAAGTCGGACCCCTACACGCACTTGAGCCACTTTTTCCAGATTATGGCGGTGTATCGGCGAAACGAGGCTCTAATGTGTATCATATTTCCTTCCAGCCTTGGTGACCTGAGCCTAACATGGTTTGAAAGGTTGCCAGAAGATAGCATAGCTTTATGGGCGCAACTAGCAGAGGCATTTGTGACTAGATTCAGACCAAACACCAAGACACCTGTAGAGATTGACCAGCTTCTCTCCATAGTTATGGGCAAGAAAGAAACATTGAAGTCTTACAATAACCGGTATTGGAAGACTTTTAATCAGATTGGAGATTGCCCCACAAACCTAGCTATCACACAGTACAAACGAGGTTTACTAGTGGGCAATAAATTAAGGGATTCAATGACAATGACGCCACCTCTTACTATGGAAGCCCTGATGGAGAGAGTGCACCAACACATCTTGGTCGAGGAAGATGGGATACGTATCAAGACAGAGTCTGATACAAACAGCAATGTCGGACAAAACACCGTCAGCAAAAGTTAACACGGTCGACAAGAAGGACTGACTACGCAAAAAACTTTGCCCAACTGGGGGCAAAGTGGGTTGGTAGGTTTGACCAACTCTTTCTAGATTCCTTGCACAACTGGGGAGCAAAGGCGGTTGGCATGTTTGACCAACAAAACTTTCTAGATTCCTTGCACAATTGGGGGGCAAAGGCGGTTGGCAGGTTTGACCAACAAAATTTTTTAGACTCCTTACACAACTGGGGGACAAAAGCGGTTGGTGTAGACACCCCATTTTTGACTGACCTTAAGACTCAGACGTCATTGTTTGTGCGCGTGATGATTGTGCATGTTTGTGCTCGTTTTGAGTGCCCGAAGATCTCGGCCGTGCGCCTTGTCTTTGCGCCTCTAAAACCTCTGTGTTTTGGCCCGGTTTTTGGACCGGATCTTGGTGCCTTTTCCTGGAGGAAGAGAGAGGCCTGTAGACCACTTTTTGTAGCCGTAGGCTACTTTTCCCTCTTGTAGGCCACTTGTAGTGGCCCGTAGGCTAGTTTCAGGAGCTTTCGGCTGAGTGTCTTGTCTTGGGGCCTCTTAGCTCTCTTCTTTTTGGACCATACCTTGTTGCCTCTTGCCTAAGGGAGGGAGAGACCTTGCCGGCCACTTTTGGCATGTGCCGGCCAC